GCAAACTGGTAGTAAAAAAAAGCTACCGGTTCCTCTGAACCGGTATTTCCGGCAATCCGCTGTGCCGCGCGATTTAAAATTGGTAGAAAGCAGGAAATCCTGCTTTCTAGTGAATCTAAATCGTGCGACACAGCTGATCCCTCCCCCTCGCTGTTCTACTTACTTTCCCAAGCCTTCTTTTTCCGCCATTTGGCACGTACTGCGCATGTGTGCATGTGCAGCGTGCGTTTGATGCACACTGCACATGTGTGCGTAGCGTGCATTTGGCGTGTACCGCACATGTGCGTGCATGCGGCACGAGTTTGGCACACACCGTGCATGTGAGGCCAACGAACCAGTAGCAAACCGGTTCAGATTTCACCACTGACTTTAATCATCTTAGCTGCTCTTCTTTGTACTTTTTCCAAAGTCTCAACATCTTTTTTTTTGTAATGGGGTGACCAAAACTGGATGCAGTATTCCAGGTGTGGCCTTGCTAAGGCTTTCTAAAGCGGTACAAATACTTCATGTGGTTTTGATTCTATGCCACTGTTTTATGCAACCAAGGATTGTATTAGCTTTTTAGCTGCTGCTGCACACTGCTGACTCATGTTGAAATCACCATCCACTAAGATGGCAAAGGGAGCTCAACCAATCTCATTGCACATATGTTGTGCACTGACAATAAAGATTTGAATTGAATTGGCTGGGAAATTCTGGGGATCGAAGTCCACAGGTCTTAAAAGTTCCCAAGGTTGGACATCCCTACTTTAAGCATTATATGTCATCTGTCAGTTACTTTCACAACAGATTCCCAGATTCTCCGACTCCCAGAATTCTCAGCCGTGGCCATATTGAGAATTCTGGGAATCGAAGTCCATAGAGCTGAAGTCACCAAAGTTGAGAAATAGTGTGTAGGCTTTCTTTTCACCTTGCCTGAAAGTCTCCATCTAGAAAAGCCCTGCTGTGAGCGATTCTCGTGAGAGGCATCTTAGCCAAGGATCTTGACAGGTGAGGTCCTTGACTCTTCTTAACATTTTGTGTGGGTGGCCTTAAGTGAAAGGAAATCCTCTGTGTGTGTGTGTCTGTCTGTGTTGTGGCAGCTGATGAGTAAGTGAAATTCAGCGCTGGAACCCGGTGGAGTTGTGTTGACAGTTTGGTAGCGGTACTTGTAGCTACTTGTTTGTTTGTCTTGATGATATCTTTATTAAATAGTAAAATTCAAAGCCAGCCATTAAAATACAAACAAAGATAAAAAGGAAAGGGAAGGGGAATAAAAAATAAATGAATAGATAGATAGAGATGGATAGATAGACAGACAGACAAAAAGACAGACAGACAGACAGATAAGATAGGTAGGTAGGTAGGTAGGTAGGTAGGTAGGTAGGTAGGTAGACAGACAGACAGACAGACAGACAAAAAGACAGACAGACAGATAAGGTAGGTAGGTAGATAGACAGACAGACAAAAAGACAGACAGACAGATAAGGTAGACAGACAGACAGACAGACAGACCAAAAGACAGACAGATAAGGTAGGTAGGTAGGTAGGTAGACAGACAGACAGACAGACAAAAAGACAGATAGACAGACAGACAGGTAGGTAGATAGATAGACAGACAGACAAAAAGACAGACAGACAGACATGGTAGACAGACAGACAGACAAAAAGACAGACAGACAGATAAGGTAGGTAGACAGACAGACAGACAAAAAGACAGACAGATAAGGTAGGTAGGTAGATAGATAGACAGACAGATAAGGTAGGTAGGTTAGATAGACAGACAGATAAGGTAGGTAGGTAGACAGACACACAGACAGACAGACAGACAAAAAGACAGACAAGGTAGGTACGTAGGTAGGTAGATAGACAGACAGACAGACAAAAAGACAGACAGATTAGGTAGGTAGACAGACAGACACACAGACAGACAGACAAAAAGACAGACAGACAGACAGATAAGGTAGGTAGGTAGGTAGGTAGGTAGATAGACAGACAGACCAAAAGACAGACAGATTAGGTAGGTAGGTAGGTAGGTAGGTAGGTAGGTAGGTAAGTAGATAGATAGATAGATAGATAGATAGATAGATAGATAGATAGATAGATAGATAGATAGATAGGCAGACAAACAGACAGACAGACAGACAAGGTAGGTAGGTAGATAGATAGATAGACAGACAGACAAAAAGACAGACAGACAGACAGAGACAGACAGACAGTCAGATTAGGTAGGTAGGTAGGTAGGTAGGTAGATAGATAGATGATAGATAGATAGATAGATAGATAGATAGATAGATAGATATCTCAAATAAATTTATAACAGTAATGACCTCTGCCTTTTTTTAAAAAAATACGGAGATAATAATAATAATATAACTACCACTCCCTAAGCTTAAACAAGTCCTACCAATTTTTAAAATACCTTACTGATAGAAAAGAATATTTGTAGCTCAGGGTGGAACAGCGGGGTCCTTGATGCTCTCTGAGCTTGCTGGTTTTCTTGCAGTCATTTCATTACCAAACTAGCTAACATCATCAGTGCATTTAAAATATCTTAAAACACTAATGATCAACATTCTTAAAAACCCCCCGATATTCATAATATATTCTTCTCTTAATTTTTTTTAATGGTAGATACTTGTTGATCTTGATTCCTTAGTACAGATAGCTGTCAACTTAACAACAGTTCATTTAGTGACCGTTCAAAGTTACAACGGCACTGAAAAAAGTACTTGTGACTGTTTTTCACACTTGCGACCAATGGGGGCAGCTGGATTCACTTAACAACCGTGTTACAGACTTAACTGCAGTGATTCACTTAACAACTGTGGCAAGAAAGGTCGTAAAATGGGGCAAAACTGACTTAATTGTCTCCCTTAACAATAGAAACGTTGGACTCAATTAGGGTCGTAAGTCGAGGACTACCATCTGTATGTTGAATTTGGATAAAGGGGGACATGGAAGACTTTGAGGCAGGCCTGGGGCATTGCACCAGCTCACAGTAGGTTTAGCTTTATGGGGTCCCCTTAGCTCAGAGTTTCTCAACCTTGGTAGCTTGAAGATGGGTGGACTTCAACTCCCAGAATCCCCCAGCCAGCGCTGCTGGCTGGGGGATTCTGGGAGTTGAAGTCCACCCATCTTCAAGCTTCCAAGGTTGAGAAACACTGCCTTAGCTTCCAAGATGCTGTATTCCTGTTTAGGATGAGAACAATCTGCCTTCAACCGTCCTCCCCAGAAATACAGGTAGTCCTTGACTTACAACCATTTGTTTAGTGACCGTTCAAAGTTACAACGGCACTGAAAAAAGTGACTTATCATTAAGAAAATTATGGAATGTGCGGAAATGAGTAAATTGACATTTGAAATTAGAGAACAGGAAGATAAACAATATTATTTAATATGGGATTTGTTTTATCAATGGCTAGATAATAAGGCATGGAAATGAAGTATGAAATATGAAATTAATGTAATGATAAAATATATGAAGTGTTTTTTTTAATTTGTTTTTCATGAGTCAAACCCTTGTTAAACAATTGTTAAATGAGAATAACAACATAAAGGGATATATAAAATTATCAAATAAGAGAAATTAAATAATTTGTAAATTGTGGATATGGGATTAAGCACAAAAGATTTTTAACCGATTGACACACTTTCTGTGATTGTAATGGATGATGCTTGTTTTATGTTTCGTTATGTTTAAAAATAATTTTTTTTTTGGAAAAAAAAAATGGATTTATGACTGTTTTTCACACTTACGACCATTGCCGCATCCCCACGGTCATGTGATCAGAATTCAAACATGTGGCAACTGACTCATACTTATGACAGTTGCAGTGTCCCAGGGGGGTGTCACGTGATCAACTTTTGCGACCTTCGGACGAGCCAAGTCAATGGGGGAAGCCAGATTCACTTAACAACCAGGTTACTAACTTAACAACTGCAGTGATTCACTTAATAGCTGCGGCAAGAAAGCACGTAAAATGAGGCATGGGAATAACAGCAATGGAAATTTTCTGCTCAACTGTGGTCATAAGTCAAGGATTATCAGCAGCTCATGAGGTTTTTTTTTTAACCAAAGAGACCGGAGGTATAACCCCTGTCCCTTCATTAAGCAGTGGAGTATTAGTTCTTAAGCTTATTTTTTCATCATTTTTTTTCCTCTTTCAAGACTTATTTGCATTACGCATTTAGCAGATTAACAGAATAGGAAGGGACCTTGTAGGTCATCTAGTCCAACACTCCGCCCAATCAGGAGACCCTACACCAGGGGTGTCAAACTCAAGGCTCGCGGGCCCGATCCGGCCTGCGGGGCCTTTAGATCTGGCTCGCAGGCCCACCCTGGAAACAGCAAAGGACAGCCCCGCGGTGGCTCTGCCAGTGAAAACAGAGCGTGCGGCCCTCCTGAAGCTACGTTTTCGGCCGTGACGACCTCCTGCAATCCTCTGCCAGCTAAAACAGAACTTGGGAGGGTCCCCCCCCTCCAAGGTCAAACACAACCCTGATGTGGCCCTCAATGAAATCCAGTTTGACACCCCTGCGCTACCACACCATTTCTGACAGATGGCAGTCCAGTCTCTTCTTGAAAGCCTCCAGTGATGAAGTTCCCACAACTTCTGAAGGCAACTTCTGTTCCATTGTTCTCCCTGTCAGAAAATTTCTCCTTATTTCCAGATTGAATCTCTCCTTGATCCATTTCCATCCATTATTCCTTGTCTGGCCTTCGGGTGCTTTGGAAAATAGTTTGACCTCCCTCTTCTCTGTGGCAGCCCCTCAAATATTAGAAGACTGCTATCATGTCTCCCCTGGTCCTTCTCTTCACTAGACTAGCCATGCCCAGTTCCTGCAACCGTTCATCGTATATTTTAGTCTCCAGTCCCCTAATCATCCTGGTTGTCTTCTCTGCACTCTTTCTAGAGTCTCAACATCTTTTTTGTAGTGTGGTGACCAAAACTGGATGCGGTATTCTAGGTGTCGTGATTTGACTTCTGTCTAAACTTGCTTTTTTTCCTCTTTTTCAGTTCATTTTGGCTGTGGATCGCAACTCGGATAACAAGAATTATTGGAGGTCAGTCACTATCAAAACTTCTTCCTTTTAAGATTTGGGGGCCTTCTGATCTGCTCTTCTGTGGCCTCAAACACAGGTAGTCCTCAAGTTACAACAGTTCGTTCAGTGACCATTTGAAGTAACAACGGCCCTAACAAAACTGATTTATGACCGTTTTCCCCACTTCCATTGCATTCTGTTTAATCTATTGAAGTTTGGAATGATATTATAATACACTGTTGTGCATAGAGAAACACAATGGAAAGATCTGGGCATATTTGGGTTTATTTATTTATTTATTTATTTATTCATTCATTCATTCATTCATTCATTCATTCATTCATTTATTTATTATATTTCTATACTACCTTTCTCCCGTAGGACTCAAGGTGGTGTACAGCCAAGAAAAATATAGATACACAAACATCATAAAATTGCTAATTAAAATTATTATTATAACATAGTTTGGCCCAATTAAATAGAACCTAAAATTAGATAACATTTTAAAAACATTCACATGTTCATATGTTTAGCCCCACTTGTTGGAACATCAGGGTTTTGAGGGCATGGCGGAAAGCACGGAGATCAGGGATAGTTCATATCTCGGGGGCAGTTCATTCCAAAATATGTCAGAGTTAATATGACATATTTTATTATATGTCAGGGTTAATATGTCAGAGAAGGAATTAAGGGGACAATTTTTAAAAATTGTTTCTCAATTTTGCCACACAAGGGACATTTCTGTTAAGCAAGGAAAATAAAAAGGCTAGTGCAGTACAGGTAGTCCTCGACTTACAACACTTCATTTAGTGACCGTTCAAAGTTACAACAGCACTGAAAAAAGTGACTTATGACCATTTTTCACACTTACGACCATTGCAGCAACCTCATGGTCACATGATTTACATTCAGAAAATTGGCAACATGTTCATACTTATGACGGCTGCGGTGTTGCGGGGTCATCTTTTGCAAACTTCTGACAAGCAAGATCAATGGGGGAAACCAGATTCACTTAACAACTGTGTTACTAATTTAACAACTGCAGGGATTCACTTAACAAATATAGTGTCAACTTGCAAAGTTTTCAAGTTGCCATGAGCAGGAGGGAGGGAGAACTGATACAGCTGATTGATTTCCCTAACTGAAGCTACATTCCGTAGATGCTTTCTTATCACAATCAGTAGGAGGGTGTTGGATTTAACAGCCAGCCAAAGTGGTTAATTGGGGAATGTTATTTATGACATGGCCAGGGAGGAGGGGAGAGACAGGGTCATAGGGGAACATAAATCTCTGTGGGATTAGTTCTAACTGCATCCGAATATTGCTAAAATGGTGCTCCTAATAAATGACTGTATTTCTTTTGAAGTTTGGCTCATGGCTCATGAATTAATTAGGGCACCTTTCAGAAACTTCACATATGGCAAGAAAAGTCGTAAAATGGGCAAAACTCACTTAACAAATTTCTCACTTAGCAACATAAATTCTGGCTTCAGTTGCAGTCGTAAGTTGAGGACTACCTGTATTTGAAAACGTGTTTAACTTTTGAAAAATGAAAAATGTTAATCTCCTTAAAACTTGGGTGTTTTTTTTTTTTTTTTTTTTTTTTTTTTTTTTTAGCGGTACAAACCTTCTTCGCCGGCACGATGAGCAACAAACCACCTCCCGACGATAAGCTTCTGGAGCTGGATTTACATTCCCATTTCATCATCGGTTCCGTTTCGGAGGATAATTCTGAAGATGAGACAAGCTCCTTGGTGAAAATTGATTTACTGGAAGAAAAAGACCAGTCCATCTCTCCGGTCTCCGTCAGTTCGGACTCTCTTTCCGACCTCAGTTCTTCCGGTGTTCAAGAGGCCCTTCATATGAGGTAAAACAAAATAAAAATCACAATTGTTCATTTAGGGACCATTCAAACTTACAATGGCACTGAAAAAAAGTGACTTAAGACTCTTTTCCACACTTACGACTGTTGCCACATTCCCATGGTCATATGATCAAAATTCAGACGCCTGGCAACAGATTCATACTTATAACGGTTGTAGCATCCTGGGGACATGTGATCCCCTTTTGCGACCTTCTGACAAGCAAAGTCAATGGGGAGGCCAGATTCACTTAAGAACCGGGTCACTAACATAACAACTGCAGTGGTTCACTTAACAGCGCTGGCAAGAAAGATCGTAAAATGAGGCAAAATTTACTTAAGAAACATTTCACGTAACAACAGAAATGTTGGGCTCAATTGTGGTCGTAAGTCAAGGACTGCCTGTATGGGTTTCTTAAAAATGTCATCTTTTCTTGTTGCTCTAAAGCAGGAGTACATGGTCACATGATCAAAATTCAGATATTTTGCAACTGACTCGTATTTATGACGGTTGCAGTGTCCCGGGGTCATGTGATCCCCTTTTGTGACCTTCTAACAAGCAAAGTCAATGGGGAAGCCAGATTCACTTAACAACCATGTTAGTAAACAACTGTAGTGATTCCCTTAACAACTGTGGCAAGAAACGTCGTACAATGGGGGCAAACTTCACTTAAGGTGCGCTGCACCCCCCCACGCCCCATTTTACCTTTAGCAAACCTCCCTGCAGCCCCTGGGAGCCAAAAAGGGGTGCGGGGGAGGGGCGCCGCCCCCCCCCCCCCCCACGTCCCATTTTACCTTTAGCAAGCCTCCCTGCAGCCCCTGGGAGCCAAAAAGGGACATGCGGGAGGGGCGCTGCACCCCTCCACGCCCCGTTTTACCTTTAGCAAGCCTCTCTGCAGCCCCTGGGAGCCAAAACGGTTGCAGGAAAAAAGGCATTTTTTCCTCACTCGAGTATAAAGTTCCTGCAACTGTTCTTCATATGTTTTAGCTGCTGGTTCCCTAATAATCAAAATTTGCCAAAGTCTCACCATCTCAGTAATTTTTACTGGATTTTGTCAGAAAGGAGGAAGTTTCAGATGAAGGAGTTGCAAATTTACATTGACAATTCTATTTGGGATTGTATGGGAAAGAAAAGTATGAGATTGCTAAAATTTAAATCAGCTTGGGTGGTTGTTGAAAAGGCTGCCATGCAGTGCTTCTGTTCTCAGGATGGGATCTTGCAGAATTTTAATTGCTCTTGCATATATTACACATCAGGTTTCTCCCAGCCAATATTAGAATTAGATGCTTTGCCAATGCTGCTTCGAGAACACAACAGTTTAATTAAATTTACAGCAAGAACACAGAGTTCCTCTTTGAGAGAGACGGGCAGTTCCTAATTATTATAAATAAAATAAAATAAACAATTAAGAAGAACCATTAGTAAAAAACAAATTAAGTGTTTGCTGGGTCCAAAATCAAGCCCCATTTATATTGGTACTCCATGACTAATGACCACAATTGAGCCCAAAACTTCTGTTGCTAAACAAGACAGTTATTAAGTGAGTTTTGCCCCATTTTACGACTTTTCTTGCCCCATTTGTTAAGTGACTCACTGCAGTCGTTAAGTTAGTAGCAAGGTTATTAAGTGAATCTGGCTTCCCCATTGACATTGCTTGTCAGAAGGTCGCAAAACGGAATCAGGTGATCTCGGGACACTGCCACCGTCATAAATATGAGTCAGTTGCCAAGCGCAGCATCCCCATCATGTGACTATGGGGATGCTGCGCCCATCAGAAGTGTGAAAAGCATTCACAAGTCACTTTTCCAGTGCTGTTGTAACCTTGGTCACTAATGAATGGTTATAAGTCAAGGTACTGTAGAATGAGAGATAGCTACCTCCTTTGTTATGTTGGTGAGCATTTCAGAACATCAAACAACTGTTGCATAAACACAAGGCTTGAGTTGGGCTGGCCAATCCACAGAAGGTGTGAAGTTGCAGTAGTACCCAATTTTGTTGTTGCAATCTGGAATAATCTGCCCCCGATATTTGATCATCCCTCACTAGTAATAGCAATAGCACTTAGATTTATATGCAGCTTCACAGAGTCAGCCTATTGCCCCCAATAATCTGGGTCCTCATTTTACCCACCTCAGAAGGATGGAAGGCTGAGGAAACCTTGAGCTGGTCAGGATCAAACTGCAAACTTTCTTGTTTTTTTTTTTTCTTTTGAAGACATTTCGCTTCTCCACCAAGAAGCTTCTTCAGCTCTGATTGGATGGTGGGGAATAGAAGGATTTATATTCCTTGCAGACAGCAGGTCATTTGCATCCTTTCAGAGAGTCGTTGAGGCCACTTGGAGGTTTATCTGTGTCCTCAGGGTCACCTGAGTGGTGCTCCTGGTTAAAAAAAAAAAAGGCAAATTACAGGAACCAGGAACACTACTCAGGTGACCCTGAGGACATAGATAAACCTCCAAGTGCTTCAATAACCTTCTAAAACAAGGGTGTCAAACTCAATTTCACTGAGGGCCACATCAGGGTTGTGTTTGACCTCGGGGTGGGGGGTGGCATGGCCCGCTAAATGTCACTCATATTGGGAGTGCCTGTGGTGGCCCGAGTGCACTGCCAGTGAAAATGGACTCCCATTTTAATATGTGAAGGGCACAAAATATCTAATACTACACATATTAACCGCTGCCAGGATTGCCTATGCTCAATGTTGGAAACAGCTACGTACACCCGCAGAGAAACTGGTTATACAAAAGGTCATGAATTGCGCAGAAATGGACAAATTAACGCGGAGTTTAAAAGATAAAGAGACATCAATATTTTACAATGTGTGGGAACAGTGGTATAACTGGATAGAACAGAGATAGATTGGAGATAGATAGTTATTAAGTACAAGTAATAGATAAAATAAGAATGTAAATACGCACAATTTAATTTTTGTAAATAATGCACGAATTACTGTCACAAGAAAAACAGCACAATTAGCTGTTGTTGAGTGAAATAATTTTTTAATGTAATAAAAGTTTAATAAAGTATTTATAGAAAAGAAAAAAAAATGGACTCCCGAGCTCCGTTTTCAGCTGTGACAGCCTCCTGCAACCCTCTGCCAGCGAAAACGGAGCTCAGGAGGGCCGTGTGCAGCCCTCCCGAGCTCTGTTTTCGCTTGGAGAGGCACCACGGGCCGGTCCTTTGCTGTTTCCAAGGCAGCCCCGCAGGCTAGACCTAAGCACCTCGTAGGCCAGATCCGGTCCCCAGGCCTTGAGTTTGACACCTCTGCTGTAAAAGGATGCAAATAACCAGGTGTCTGCAAGGAGTATAAATCCTTCCATTCCTCCACCATCCTGTCAGAGCTGAAACGTCTTCAAAAGAAAAAAACAAGAAAGTTCAGTTGCCTCCTGGGGACAAGCACTGTAAAGTTATAAGAAGATTAAATAGGAGCGACGCCCAGGAGTTGTGCCATCAAAACACGCAGCTGCTGTGTGTGTCTAAAATATGGCATGAAATACATCTTTGTGTGCCAGGGGCCCCCAGCCTTGAACCTTTCTCAATCTGTTTGCTTTTATTGGGCCACCATGATCATTTGATCTGCTGCTGCCAAATTACTGCGAAAAAATAAAAATACTGTTTTCTTCCTCATCTCCTTCCCTTTTTTTCAGCATCCTCTTCCTCCTCCTCCAGTTTAAATTACCCTGTTCCCCCCAAAATAAGACCTCCCCTGATAATAAGCTCAATCGGGCTTTTCAGCGCATGGCAATAAGGCCAAGCGCTTATTTCAGGGTTCAAAAAAATATAAGACAGGGTCTTATTTTCGGGGAAACACGGTAGGTTTAGAAATTGGTTCCCCGTGCCCCACTCTCCCCCCCCGCCTGTAGTTTTCCCTAAATATCGGTAGTCCTTGACTTATAACTAACTATACATTTGGCAACCGTTCAAAATGGCAACTTGTGATTCACTTAAAAACGGTGGAAAGAGAGGTCGTGATATGACTATATACTGTAGGTAGTCCTCGACTTATGACTGTAATTGAGCTCAAAATTTCTGTTGCTGAGTGAGACATATGTTAAGTGAATTTTGCCCCATTTTACGACCGGTCTTGCCATTATTGTTAAGTGAATCATTGAGGCTGTTACGTTAGGAACATGGTTGTTAAGTGAATCAGGCTTCCCCATGGACTTTGCCTGTCAGAAGGTCGCAAAAAGAGATCACGTGACTTTGGGATACTGCAACCGTCATAAATATGAGTCAGTTATCAAGCATCTGAATTTTGATCACATGATCATAGGAATGTTAGAAAGGTCATAACTCAGGGGTGGGCTGCTGGGGGTTTGCAGGGGTTCAGGAGAACCTCTAGTTAAGATTCTGTGCAGTTCGGAGAACCCCCAAATCCCACTCCTGGCTGGCCCCATCCATCCCACCCCGCTCTGCCCCTCCCAGGAATCCCCACATGGCCTGTTTTGGATGCAGGTAAGTGCAGGGTGCGTGTGGAGATTCGGGGAGGGCGAAAAATGGGCCTACTGGAAGTCTGCTACCTGGGGAGGCCGTTTTTGCCCTCCTGGAGGCTCGAGGAAAGCCTCCGGAGCCTGGAGAGGGCAAAAGTGCCCCCCCTGCTGTGGTCCAGGAGGCTGACTAGGCCACACCCACCATGGCGACTCCTACCCAGCAACCGGGCAGAGAACCCCTTGCTAAAATTTTTGAAGCCCACTCCTATCATAAGTGTAAAAAACGATCACTTTTTTCAGTGCTGTTGTAACTTTGAACGGTCACTAAATGAGCTTTTGTAAGTCAAGGACTACCTGTATTACATTTTAAGAGATTGGGTGTGTGTGTGTACAAATTTAATAAATAAATAAATAATCCATACCCTGCATGGATTGCCCCGTGACTATGTAGGACAACTTTTTACTTTTACACATTGGTATATAACTAGCCATTTCTATAACAACTCTATCTTATTAGCAAAACATAAATCAAAGTTTCATACTTTTTTTCATCCCAAGCACAAAATCCAGAAGTGA